TGACTTGTTGACTCCATACTAGGGCTGGGCAATAAATCGAAAATTTAACGTTATCAAAATATTTGACTCTTATCGAGATAATATTTCCCATGTCAATAAATCTGATAATAAACAAATGAAAATGTGTGTAGGTTGGCAACGTTCACGTCCCTTTAAGAAGCCGAACCACATTGAGTTACATAAAAATGTGACTCAACGTAATACATGTGACAGCCCCATCTAGTGGACAACTTTTGTTTCTGCGCATACCTGTAATTATCGTCCATTTATCGTTACCAAGGTGAAATCCTCAATATATCGTGATATTGATTTTAGCCCATATCGCCCAGCCCTATTCCATGCTTAGAAGACTTGGTGCTATCCTTAAAAATCACAGTGGTCACACAAAATACAAGATGTAAAAGTTTTTGTTACGGGGTGTATTCGTTATTGCTTCAACCAGTTTTAGTAAAACTGAAGATTTTGTGATCTAAGTTATGTTATTAACCCTAATTTCATGTTATGCAGTTAAACAAGTGTTCAATAACACCCAGCCTTCTGAAAATCCTGGAAATTGGTCTTTTGTTAATTGAGCTACTGATGAAATTAGTACTTTTGGTAACATTTCCTTTTACAGTCCCCTAATTACTAAGTACTTACATGGTAATTACGTAGTAAGTTCAAGTATATTATTGTGTAATTAAAGTGTGTTATTGTAATAAAGTGTTATTACTGAGTAAATCAGTATTTACTGTGCATGGTTAATAAAAAATAAAAAATAGAACTAAACCTGAGTGACATGTAATAACAGTTTAAGAACTCAGAAACAATAACACACTTTAACTTACTATGTAATTACCATGTACTTGGTAGTTAGGGGACTGTAAAAGGAAGCATTACCGCACTTTTTAAAGGGGGTGTACTCATTTATGCTGAGCACTACATTATTATAAGATTTAGTTTACATTTGTTTGAAAGGTTTGTACTGGTGGTCCTAGACCAACATCTCAGTAGTACCATCATGTTTAAAATCTTTCTAAACAAGAAGTTGCAAGCACTTCTCTGGTTTGTAGAAATGATGCAAGTTTTTCAGTTTCTTTCTACCTAAATAAACCAGAATGTATGAAGCACAATCCACTGTGTTCCATTTAAGTGATCTCTTGTGTAATCTAAATCAGGTCTGCTTCGTGTGTGTGCGTGTGTGTGTGTGTGTGTGTGTGCGCGCGCATGTTTTTACCATAACTGTGTTCATTGACAGACTGACATGAGAAGAACAGCAACATTTTCACGCTTCACTTCCTCCATTTGATCCAAGCTCACTCTCACAGATTGGTGTGCCAGGCAGAACAATAGCTGCAGGATTAAACTCCACAGTCTGATGACGTCTTTTTAAGTTCCGCTTAGCTCAAAAAGAAAAGAGGTAATTCAGGTCGTACTTTTTGGCTTTTTACTTATGCCCCCCACCCAAAAGATAGCTGAAGTCAGGAGGCTAAAAAGGAAGGGAGGGAAGAGAGAAGCAACACCTTTAGAGCTGAGTTGCAGCCATGTGCTGCAGCTGCAGCACGATTAAAGGATTTGCTTTTTTGCTTTTCCCACACATATTTCCAAAGTCTGGAATTCCTAGCCTGTCTCCCCAGTTTCCTTCTCATTCACACATTCTCTCTGTGTGTCTCTTACCATCTCTGGCTTTTCCTGTAGCTGTTCATGTTTTCATTCGCTATTCATTAACACATCCTTTTATGTCCTAACTGGAGACAAGGGAAGTCATTTATTACAGAAACAGTATATGAGTGACCAACATTACTCTGAGTCTCACCAGCTTCACTAAGGATAATAAGAACAATAACATTTGTAGTAGTAGTAGCAGTAGAAGTAGTAGTACTACTAATAATAGTAGTAATAGTAAGAGGAGGAGTAAGAGAAGTAGTAGTACTACTAATAATAGTAGTAATAGTAAGAGGAGGAGTAAGAGAAGTAGTAGCAGTGGTAGCAGCAAGGGCGTCAGTTTGTTTTCAGAATTGCTGGGGACAATAACCATACACTGGAGTGGGGTTTAAAAATTGCTGGGGAGAATAAAGTAGGCTAGCACAGGGGTCGGCACCCCGCGGCTCTGGAGCCGCGTGCGGCTCTTCCATCCATCTGATGTGGCTCTCTGTGCTTGTAAAATAATGAATGGATATTTAAATAAAATGCTTTATATTTTACTGCATAAATTTTACATCTGTATGCTAATTCTAAATGTAAAGATTGTCTGCGTAAACCTGAACAGTTCCAACCCGGCCTTACTGTGAGACCGGGTTGACGCGTCACGCTTGTGCTCGCAGCGTTTTAAAAAGAAACGTATATGACAAAAGTGGCACCTGCTCAGTAAAACCACCAACAGGGTGAAAAATACCAAAAATTGAAGGCAGAGACGGGCTACAACTTCTGGATCCATTTTATATAAATCGTTTTATTGATTATCGTCTTATGAAAGATAACTTTGACGTACACGAGTGACCAGGCGCGTTACAAGCTTTTCAAAAGTGTGGGGGGTGTTGTCTGTGCCTAAAATAGTTTCATGTTATTCATCTTGTTAGTTTAATTTCCATAATAGTGGAGCAGGTGCGAATTTTAGACGTGTCACGCATGTCTCCGTTTTAAACATGTTTAAACTGTTCAGAATACAAATCCAGGCTCTGTCTCGTTAGATTGGTGTAACTAAAGTTTGTACTGAATGAAACTTTACATTAAACCATGTTGAAAAGAAAAGGATCCCATTAAATTGTTTCCTCTCATTTACAGTCAGAAGTACAGTGCAGTGCGCATGGCTCTGGGGTTAATCAAGTTTAATTGTTTCTCTTTGCAACAATCTTCACAAGAAGGCAAAACAGTTAAACGGCAGGTTACATATATTTCCATTTGACTGTTTATTTTGACGGATAAACTCAAGGATGTTGGTTGTTTTGAAAGAATTACCCCGACGCACACTGATGCGCATGGATGAGCTGACATTTTAATCGTTAACGCACATCGCAGAGGTAACTTGATTCCCATCAGAACATCAGAGCGTTATACTGGACACTGTGTTCACCGGGGCTCAGAGCGCCTGGTGCACAGTGGGCTGAAGATCTGTAGAGGGGTTCGCAGCGCAGTGCAGAACCACGGTGCATGCGATAAGATTTCCTCCCACTGAAACAGTCTGGAAACCCGGTCTCTCTGAGGGATGTGTCACTTAGAAAAATGTTCTTTTTTATGAAATTATGAAACTTTGGCTGAACAGCGCTTGTTCCCGTCTCTAATATGGAGACGCATGACGCATCCAGTCGCCTCTTCAGCTCAGCAAGCACCTGTAGAGACATTTGATTACGCACAAAGTTTATGTGGAGCAGAAGCGGTCGGGCCACGGCAGGTGAAATGTTCCTAGCCTACATGAAGTTGGGCTGCATGGTGGCGCAGTGGTTAGCACTGTTGCCTCGCAGCACGAAGGTCGCAGGTTCAAAACTCGCCTTTCTGCGTGGAGTTGCGTGTTCTCCCCATGCATGCGTGGGTTTTCTCCGGGTACTCCGGTTTCCCCCACAGATCACAACATGTCCTATAGGTTAAAAAATAATTGTTGTAAGTCGCTTTGGGTAAAAGCGTCTGCTAAGCACATAAACATAAACATGAAGTGAAACTGTTTAATTGTAACATTAATATGTTACTGGACACGCTGGTCTGGTTGGTTAGACCAGTGTTTGAAGTGGAAAACACACACACACACACACACACACACCAATTAAAATAATGCTGATAGCGTGGACTAGCAGGTGATGGTTTACGTATTTAAATGATGATCAGGCTGCTGTAAAATGTAATCTCCATCCACATCCAGACAGAATTATCCTCTATTCTTTCTCTATTTGCTCTGCTCTTGTCTGGGATGACGTAGCTAATGGTGCGCGCGGCGCGCCTAACTAGCGGCTGATGCACATTTTACGCATTTGGAGAGGTGGGCTGGAAGCTTTGCTTTTACTGGAAGATGGTCCACTTAACGCACGGGTGTAGACTACATATTAATGACAAATGAATGAAAATTAAATTGGGAGTTTTTACTTCATATTTTAGAAATTAAAATGACGGGGGAAAACATTTATGACGTCTTTTTAAACGAAATTTTCTGGCGCGACCTGCCTGCTTCACTTAAGTCACTGCTTATTAAGATCTGTCCAAAATTACCGTGACCCACCCAAAAATGAAAACCTGGCGCCGCGCCTGTTATAAACCTCTGAAAATTGTTGTTCTTCACTTTATCAAACTCAGACTTTTTACAGCTAATGTCAAGATGGAAAATTATGAATTCAGTCGAGCTCTTCCATCCCTCCCTCTCCTGCTCTCCTTGAACCCGACATCGGCTGTCAGAAGAGGGAGGGGAAGAAAGAGATGAGGCAAACGAGTGCGACGTAAAGAAACCAGACTGGTGTGGAGGTGAGCAAAACAGCTGGAAAAGTGTGGGTGTTGAATCCCCCCATGAGATCTGAGCTGGTAAAACAAAAATCCTCATCAGCAGGCTTTTTTGAAAGTGGGGGGGACAGAGCTGCCAATCACAAATTTTGCCGGGGACATGTCCCCGGCGTCCCCGGTTAAAATGACGCCTATGGGTAGCAGTAGTAGTAGAAGTGGTAGTAGAAGTAGCAGAAGTAGTGGTAGTAGTAGTAGTAGTAGTGGTAGTAATAGTAGTAGAAGTGGTAGTAGTAGTAGTAGTGGTGGTAGTAGTATTCGTAGTAGTAGTAGAAGTAGTAGTAGTAGTAATAGGAACAGGAGTAGTAGTATAGTAGTAATATAAATTATAGGAGTGGCACGATTAGTAAGTGTAGGAATAGTAGTAAGAGTAGTAGGAATAGCAGTAGCAGTAGTAGGGATTTTGAATGATTCCGATTCCTCGTTTCGATTCCGGTTCCTATCGTTTCAGGATTCCGATTCTTTGAAGACATGACATGTTTTACATGAGCCCGCTAACCACAGGTCCTACTTGGTGAAATAATCTTAAGTTCAACATGAATTTTAATTCTATGAACAATAACATCACCTTCATTTAGACAAAAACATGTTTTGGAGAAAAAACGAAAAAGACTTGCAGCACAACCAGTGTGTTTGTTTCTGACCACAACCAACGTCTGGAAGAAGCCTCTGGGATGAGAGGCTAAATGTCTCCAACATGTCCAGAAACATCCAGCTGTTTCCAGCTAAAACTCTCAGGATGATCATGTCCAGGATGACTGAGAACTACACCTCCATGCTGCAGCAGCATTCAGTCAGAACAGGAAGTGAAACTTAAACATAGCTGCTGTCAGTAACAATCTAACAGATTTTAAACATTAAAACTCTCAGCAGAAATAGTTCAGAAAGGAAATTAAAATGTTATTTATTGTTAATCTAATTATTTATTGTGGCAGAAGCTGGTGTGGTCCACCACAGAGAAGCTGCTCTAGCATGATGACTTTAATTATTCTACAGGTTATTGTTCAGCCTGCTGACGCTCACATTGTCATGGTCTGCGTCTGCCCCTTCCTTCATGTGCCTCCTGGTGTTTCTCCATCCTCTCTAGATTCCCTTCTGTGTCCTAGCGCCCTCATGTGTCATGTCTGCGTCTTCCTCATGTGTCTTCTGGTTTTCCCCATTTGCCCCTAGATCTCCAGCCCTCTAGGTTGCTCAAGTCATTTCCTTTAGTTACAGCCTTTCATGATTTAGTATGTTTTTCCCATCAGTGTTTATTATTTTTCTCCCCCCTCCCTTTGAATTGTAGTTATGTTTCCTGCTCTTTTGTATTAGGTTTTATTCTTAGGTCAAGTTAGTTTCTCCCCTGATTAGTCATTGCCTTCACCTGGTCTTCCTCCCACACCCCACACACCTGCAGCTCATCTCCCTCTCATCCACCCTGTGTATTTAAGCCCTGTCCTGTCTCAGTGTCTCGTCGGTCCATTGTTTGTATTCTATCAGCGTTTGTTCGTGCTCTGTGTGAGTTTTTTGTCTCATCCCAGTTTGTGCTCTTGGTGAGCTTTGTTTCTCCTGCTTTGGAGTTTTGGACTTTAGGCTCGCTGCCTTTGGATTTATTTTGTTCATCCTCAAATAAAAGTATATTTTTCTTTATATCTACTCCTGCCTCGTGTCCTCCTGGGTATCTGCATATTTGGGTCCTAACCATCCCCTTAACGTGACACACGTGTGTTTTTATTTCTGTAGTAAGACAAACTCACCTCACACCGTCCAGTTTGTTCTTTAAAGCTTCTATTAAATCTACCGTGTTGACGTATTTTAACAAGTTTCCTCTACGCTGCAGGAGTTAAAGTTTATATTACGGAGTAAAAGTTCGGCAGGCGTTTGTTTATATCTGGCCGCTGCATGCCGGGTGGGGGGAGGGAGGACTCAGTGCTGCAGACAGACAGCTGGTGTGATCAGCTCTGAAAAGCCTTGATCACAATTTGCAGATCATGTTTATTTTACACTAGGAATCGAAATAAAAAACGTTGAGCGATTCCAGGAAAAATGAACAGTTGGAACCGGTTCCAATCGATGCTCGATTCTCAATGCCCAACCCTAAGAATTAGTAGCGATGAGTACCGAATTCGGTACTTTTGAAGGTACCGACCGAATTCCATAGTACTGACTGAACACCGATTCACGCCATTTGAAATGGTGCCTCGTTTCGGTACCTGTCCTTCATAACAAGAACTTGCCTAGACAGCTGCGCAAGAGCGTTGTCGGTCCCTGCAAGTTGTAAACAGAGCAGCATGGTAGAAAGAACGCACGCTAAAGCTTGGGTCCACTTCACTAAATGTGATGGGTAACTGGGTGATGATGAAACCAGCGACAACAATCTAAGTGAGACATTCTCATCTTAATCTGCTCTGGTAGGTAAATGAAATGTTTAAGATAATGTTAGCTTGATTTGTTAGCTTCCGTTCCACTAATGGTGCGTTCACTTTCTCCTTGGAACTCCGAATTTCCGACTAGAAGAACATGAACGCGCTCTAAAGTTTGGCGTCACTTTACTAAATGTAACGGATGATTGGGTGAAGATGAAACCAGTGACAACGATATAAGTGTGAGGCATCGTCGTTTTAATCTGCTCCAGCAGCTAAATAAACTGTTTAAGATAACGTTAGCTTGATAAATTAGCTTCCATTGCCACCATTGTTGTAAGCTAATGGTGCGTTCGCTTTCTCCTCGGAAATTCTAACTTCCCAGTAGGAAAAATCAAAGAAAAAGGACGGCAAAAGGAATGAAGATACACAGTAAATTTAGTTCACAGTAAAGATGTTTGCTTCAGTTTAATCATCAGCTTATAAAACTACAAGGACGATGTTAAAATACAAACAGTTGTATGTTGTTTATCGTGATATTTATCAAATATGGTTATATATTGAGAAAAATATATATTTAATTATAAAAGAGAATTAAAAATATTAAACACTCATAAGTATCAAAAATTGGTACCGTTAAGTACCGGTATCGATTCCTAGATACCGGGAATTAGTACCGGATCAATTCAAATGTCAAAGGTACCCATCCCTAGACACAGAGCAGGTTGAAGAATACCTCGCGGAAAAAAAGAATGTTTTATTCACCCGCGACTGGAGGAATAAAAGATGCACATCAAGCGTTTTATTCGTGGACGGAAACAACAAAATGTGGGTTTAAAGGTGGAGGAGAATGAGGGACAAATGTCAGCAGGCTTTTTTGAAAGTGCTAGCCAATCACAAATTTTGCCGGGGACATGTCCCCGGCGTCCCCGGTTAAAATGACGCCTATGTCCACGGAAGAATAAAAATAAAGGGATCTAATCCTCCCAGTTGGTTACATCAGGAGTTTTTCTTCCAGACTAACACATTAGCATAGGCACGGCCCCAAAAGTTACCGAACAGCACCGGAATTTGGTTTCACACACAGGTCAGATTTGCGTGTTCGGTGCTGAGGCGACTCTTTTTCTTGGACCTTCTCTCCAGCAATCAGACTGGGACGGAGGCAACACTACGGACTGAAATTACGCTGAAATTACGCCTACTGCCTCCGATCTGCGAGAAGAATGAGCCAGCTGTTGATACGTTTTCAGGTCTCAATTTAAACTGATTTAGACTGATTTTATGGTCAGACCTTGTTCCATTCTCTTTTATTTTCTCTCTGCAGTCCAGATTGTCGTCTTGTGTTTCATTCATTGTCCAGTTTTCTTTACTTCATTCCTTCCTCCCTCCCCACCTCCACCCCCCTTCTTTCCTTATTTTCTTTCAATCTACTTTTTTACTTATAATGCTCCCCGTTCATTCCTCTGTCCATTAATCCCTTCTTCCATCATTATTAATTTTCTTTCTTTCTTTCTTTCTTTCTTTCTTTCTTTCTGTCATTCATTTGGCTGTGCTCATAGTAAACGCTGTCTACAAGGAGGAAGACTTTTGAGATCTGACTATTTCCTGGATTAATCAGTAGATTTTCTTTTCACATTTTCATTGAACCTCTATAAACTGGTCTTGATGATGGTCTTTTTTTGTTTATTATAATGAAATTCTATTAAAATAATCAAGCAGTAAATTTCAGGAGAGTAACTGATGTAAAGAGAAGCTAAACATTAACCTGCCTCATGAATTAGCTGTAATAAACCCCACCTGCATTGTTTTATTCCAGTGTGATGGATCCAAAGTTCCACTCAACTATTGATCACCTTTATGGCATTTCTAATGTTTAACCACTTAAACGGTATTTACACAATGGAGTTAATATTTATTCGGTTTACAGCAACAAAGTCTGAGAACTTTGTCTTTAAAAAAAAGAATGCAAGCAACAGTTCTCAATAATTATAGTCCTGGTCTTGTGAACCAGCAGCTCACTGATTCCTGCCAGAGAAAACCATTATTACAGAGTAGACTGTGTCCATGGTGTAAATAATGAAGTTGAAGATTGTAATGATGGTGATCAGGACCAGTTTATCCCAGCTACAGACTCTCCCACAGCTACTAGGTCTTCCATGGTTGTGTAAGCTGTACAGCGGCCACAGAACCAAAGCAGTCAGATACATCGCTGTAGCCAGGACGTTAAAGACAATCACAGTGATGTCAAAAGAGAATGGAAAGTAAGAGGTGAGATCTCCCAGGGTGAGCAGGATGAGGATGATGGTGAAGGTGAAACACAGGGCGTAGACAGCGACACACCACTGCAGCTCTGGGGATTTGTGGTACTGGCCTTTTTCCAGGGACATGAAGATGAGGCAGGCGAGGAAGCTCTCCAGCATTTTCATGATGCCGGGCAACGTGGAGAGGAAACCACGAGTCTGCCCATGTGGGCGCAGGTAGGTCAAGACAACCTCACCCACATAAACACCAAAACAAACCCAGGAGACGGCAGACGCTCCGGCCTGCCGGTGGCAGGTGTTGCAGGTGAAGAATATGGGGTATATGATGGAGGCTGACAGACAGATCAGGCTTGCCAGTATTGCAAAAGCAGCAGTGAAGTCATTCCAGTCAAAAAGCATTTTGGAGCTGACCGTGGTGAACTCCAGGATGATGATGAGGAGCGTGAAGAAACAACAGAAGCACCAGGTGAACATGCACCAGGCCCAGTATGGAGAGTTCTCTGGTTTTGCTGAAGCCACCAGGCTGAAGCACAAACAGGTGATGATGACCGCCATAATTCGGATGATCCCCACCGGCTGGGTGATGGACTTCAAATCCACGAAGACCATGGCTGTACAACGTCCGTGTTTGATCAAGAAAATGGGTGTTCTGCTTGAGTTAGTTTGCTTTTCCCTTCAGGAAGACAAAGTCTTGATGTTTCAGCCGGATCCACTTGAAGAAATCCATCAACGCAAAACCCCAACAGGCGTGTTCATTGAAACAGAAACTCAGGTGTGGTGTGTATTCTAGCTGAGCATCCTGGGCTTATCGGTCCTGTTTATGGCCCCTGTTCCAGTGCTCTGATTGGATGCTGCTTGGGCGTTATCATGCTCGCTTCTCAACGCCCATGGACTCTGGTCCCTGCAGTAAGTCCGGCTCAGAACCCGGACCTAGGTCAAATTGTTGATTACCATATTTTCCTCAAACTGTGCCTAATTTATCAGTCTTGAAAGGACAACATAAGGACTAAAATCTAGAAAAAGAGGAGGAATCAATGAAGAAGTGTTAGTTTATAGTTGCTGCTACAGGGTTTGAGTCATTTTTGAGACCAATAAGAAACTTCAGCAGCACTTACGTTAACTAAAAAGTGAATTTTACGCACATTCATAAATGGGTTATTGTGGGCGACGGTGGCACAGGAGTTAAGTGCTCGCCCCGTAATCGGAAGGTTGCAGGTTCGAGCCCCGCTCAGTCTGTCGCTGTCGTTGTGTCCTTGGGCAAGACACTTAACCCACGTTGCCTGCTGGTGGTGGTCAGAGGGACCGGTGGTGCCGTTGTTTGGTAGCCTCGCCTCTGTCAGTGCGCCCCAGGGCAGCTGTGGCTACATCGTTGCTCATCCCCACCAGTGTGTGAATGGGTGAATGACTGGTTGTGTTGTAAAGCGCCTTGGGGGGTTCCAGGACTCTAGAAGGTGCTATATCAAATACAGGCCATTTACCATTGTTTAAATTCTGAGATCCTTTGTTAAATGTTTAAAGCAACACATTCTGCTCTCTCCACTTTTCACACTCCACACTTAGATTCTGGTGGTGGTGAGCTTCACTGTAGCCACAGCTGCCCTGGAGCGCACTGACAGATGCACGGCTGCAGAACACAAGCGCCACCCATCCTTCCAACCACCAGCAGCAGGCAAGGTGAGTGAAGCATTTGCCCAAGGACACAACAACTGTGACCAGCAGATCAAGATTTGAACCTGCAGCCCTCCAGTTACGGGGAAGGCAGCTAACTCCTCAGCCGTCATCATCCCAATTAACACCCCAGTTAACTTGGCGTGCATGTTGTTGGTGTGTGGGAGGAAGCTGGAGTTCCCAGAAAAAACCCCATCTGTGCATGAGGAGAACATGCCAACTCCACAGAAATGGTGCAGCTGGGATTTGAACCTGTGATCTTCTCCGCTAGCCAGCAGTGGCTAAAGCCCTCTGGAGCAGTAGTTCCAAATGCTTCAGCTTTACACCCACAAAATAGTAATTGTCGAGACTTGCAACTCCAGATATCTCTGATTTGACAAACATGCCTTGAAAGCTGAATAATTCAGCAAGAAAACCCCTTCAGCTCACATTCACTCATATCCATTTGTGACTATTTTGTTGAGTTTTTGTTACAATTTTGTTTTCAATTTTATTTCAATTTCTGGAAATCATTAAGACCAACTGTGGTGTTTTGGGGAGCCCCAGTGGGGCCCTAACCTCACCTTCGGGAGCCACTGCTCTACAGAAAACAGCGTTAACTGTCTAACAACGTAGCTACATTTTTCTAAATTTATTTCACCCCTAAACTGTTCTACACGTCTCCTAGGAGAAAATGTGTGATGACTCAAACACCCCATGTATTCGCTCAGTAAACAAGATGCATTCGTTGTGTTTGTTGAGACAGGACCAAGCCTTAAAATCCATAAAACAGTGGAGTGTTCAGTACCTGAGAGAGGATGTAAAACCTCACATGCAAATAAACACATTTCCCTACAGAGCAAACAGTTTTCTGTCATTTAGACTTTCTGATGTTTTTATTTCAGTTCCGTCATGACTTACTTTCGGAGCAAATTAAAAAAGAATGTCACAAATGTAAAAATAACCACGATGAGATGGTTTAAAACGTCCAAGTTTAATGAAAACGAGCTGAGATGACATGGTGGAAAATAGTTACACGCATCTTAGGTCAACATTGAAAGCAGGTCTAAACATAAGAGTGATCAGAAACAAACCAGTAACTAAAAGGAAATGTCACACCTTTATAGAACTGGAGTTGTTTTTAACATTGTTAATGTGCCGGTGTGTGTGTGTGTGTGTGTGTGTGTGTGTGTGTGTGTGTGTGTGTGTGTGTGTGTGTGTGTGTGTGTGTGTGTGTGTGACAGCTGCTCTGTGTCATATATCTCAGCTCTGCCAAAACCTGATGGGCCCAATTTAAATAAAAATAAGAAAATTAAGGATTGCAGTTTGTTCTATTTTCCAAGATATTAATTACAAACCAAACAAAGAGTATCCATGCTGAACAGACCACAGCTGTTGTAGAAGTGTGAGGTACCGAAACCCTAAAATAGAAAAAAAAATCCACAGCTGGAATCTTTCTTGGGATTCTTACAGGTTGTGGTCAGAAAAACACCAAGTAGTGTGAAAAAATGCTATTTTTCACATCAGTTTCCCAAAGCGTGGCTGAAAGCCAAACATGACATCACAGGATATGTTCAGCCTTTAAAAACAAAGTCGTGTGACTGAAAGATTAGTTCTGTTGCACAATACGACACACATCTGTTTGCTGTTTGAATAAATCACTGCTGAGCAGAAAAGCTGCAAAAAGCATCTAAACAATATTTGCAAAAAGAGGTGCAACACACGACTGTAAAGATGCTGAACGCTCAATTAATTACCAAACAAAAGTTTGTGATGCAGCGATAAAAAAAGCAACAGATTTTAACATGAATTCTGACTCAGGTATCAGGTTACTAAAGAAGAATCTTCTTTTTCTGGTTGCTGGCTCCTTCTTTAGGTGACGGTGGAGATTTACACCTAAAGGAAGAGTTTAACTGTAAATCTAAACAAAACAAAGTTTACAGGACATTTTACATGAAACGTTGAAACCACAACACTCTGGATTATTTATTATTATACGTACATCATTATGTGCCTGTTATACGTCAGTTTATTAGCAGCCTTAATTTTAAGATCTCAAACTATAAATGTGCACCAACAGGACCAAGTGTGGCTCTTCTGCTCCCCTGAAGGCTTCTTAAAACTTTGTCCAAAAGAAAATAAGTTGTATTTATTTAATTTAATTATGGTAAAAGGAGGATTTTCTTTCCAAAACTTTAAGAAAAGTGCACAGAATGTCTACAGCAGAAAAATATAAACATTACAAACTATTTTGCACAATTTCAGCACCAGAGTTAGTGGAAAATGCCCTGAGAGCTCATTGTTACTGTCCTACTAAAGGTTTGTTAGCATGCTCCAGACAGTCACTCTGAGAAAATCAATATTTTTCAGTAAACCTGAACCAATTTTTAAAAACTGGAACATAAACTGAACAACAAAATAATTACAGATCAGATTCAGATTTCAGATTTATTGGCCAAGTAAAATTACATTTACAAGGAATTTGTCTTCGGTAGATGTTCGCTCTCTAAAACAGACAACAACCATAATAAATGAAGAATAAAAATACCTAAAAACACATAAGAACATGTATACCCACACACATGGTCATTTACACACACACATATATACATACACACACACACGCACGCACAAACACACACTCACGCACACACACACACACATCCATAAGCATACTTATGCTAATTATAGAATGTAATTAATCATTTTCCCTGATTTTAATTTGAAGTGGCTCCACACAAAGATTTGGTTTTACTATAAAGGCTAAATCACTCATTCATTTTAGTGTAACCTTACGATTAATTAAACTACGTAATATTTACTTTGTTTTTTTTATCACGTTCTGATTACAGGTGTCAGTAAACTCTCACCTGTAAGACAGCAAATATTCCCTAATAAAAAACTCATTTCTATTTCTGGAGCATACTTTATAAGGATTTTTAACAAGTTGAATTAATTTCTAAATTAAACGTTTCCCTCAGTAAAAGAAACTGACCAAAGTCAAATAAAATGTGCTGTTTCTGTACAGCGATAGCGTTAAAAATCAGCAACTGGTGCATCTGGAACGAGTGGGATTAGGTTTGTGCCTCCCTGCTGATGAAATGTACCCTGAATGAATAAACCGTATCTGCTATGTAAACAGCAAGGTTGAAACAGGTCATGAAAGAAACAACAACTTTTAAATCCCACAAAAAACCCTTGTAGTTTGGGATGGACTTAAAGCTGTATACGGGCCAGATGACAGCGGCGGTGATGTACATCAGCACTGCCACGACGTTACAGACACTCAGGACTTTGTCCAAAGGAGCAGGGAAGAGCGACAGCAGGCGGCAGATGGTTAAAACAATAAAAAGGAAGGAAAAAATAAAGCAAAGGGAGTAGACCGCAACACACCACTGGAGCCCTGGAGACCAGGAGTAGTGCTGATAACCCAGGCAGATGAAGATGATGCAGGCCACAAAGGCCTCAAGAACTTTGAGGTGGCCTGGAACGGTGGCAAGAAAGCCCCTTATCTCCCCAGGCTTTGCTCGAGTCATTCCGACCTCTATGGCGTACAGGATGTAGGCCAGAAAGGAGGTCACACAGACACCAATCATGCGGCTGCAGGATGGACAAGTGAAGAAGTAGGAGAAGATGATGGAGGCTGTGAACACCTGCATGAAAGAGACGTTCAGTCAGAAATTAGCTCTCTGCATTTGTTTGGATCTGAACTTTACAGTTTTCAAACTGAATTGAGCGACTCAACACTTATAATAATAATAATAATAATAATAATAATAATAATAATAATAATAATATTATTATTATTATTATTATTATTAAAGGAGGGACAGGAGTTTCTGAAACTGTTTGATAAAACAGTCTAAAGGTCCTACACATTTCCTACTATAAAAATAATAATCATAATAAATAAAAGAAAGAAAGATTAAACATGCAAGAGGAGGAACAAGGGGTTGCTGTTCCTCCATTTGAGCAGTAAACATATTTGTTCAACGATAAGCAGCAGTGGAAGAAAAGCTTTACAAACACGTTTGTTCCTCCAGGCTACATCCTAAAGAAAGGGAAAAAAGGGTACAATTGATTTCAGGGTTGAATACAACAGTTTCTTTTAAAAGAACAAACTAAACCCATTGAAGGAGAACCAGGCAGTTTTGCTTGTTTTTAGCACCCCCTCGTGTTTTTTTGTAGAGCCGAAAGCAAAACCTTCGTCTTTGTAACGCCTTAACCTAACAGCTGAAATGTCTCCCCAGCCTTCCTTGGTGTCTAATGCACAGACCCCTTCTTTGAGGCCCCCCCAAAAATGCTATTTTTCACATCAATTTCCCAAAACATGGCTAAAAGCCAAACATGACATCACAGGATATGTTCAGCCTTTAAAAACAAAGTCGTGCGACTGTGAAAGATTAGTTCTGTTGCACTATACGACACACATCTGTTTGCTGTTTGAATAAGTCACTGCTGAGCAGAAAAGCTGCAAAAAGCATCTAAACAATATTTGCAAAAAGAGGTGCAACACACGACTGTAAAGATGCTGAACGCTCAATTAATTACCAAACAAAAGTTTGTGATGCAGCGATAAAAAAGCAACAAATTTTAACATGAATTCTGACTAAGGTATCAGGTTACTAAAGAAGAATATTCTTTTTCTGGTTGCTGGCTCCTTCTTTAGGTGACGGTGGAGATTTACACCTAAAGGAAGAGTTTAACAAGAAATCTAAATAAAACAAAGTTTACTGGGGAACCAGGCAGTTTAGCTTGTTTTTAGCACCCCTAGTATTCCTTTGTAGAACCACGCTCCCATCCCATCCCATCAAAGCACTTTGTAGGCTTAACTGGATTTTCCTCATATGTACTGTCAAAACCCTAGTGGCTCTTATCTTGATACGGCTGCACTTTCATCTTTGGACTCTGACATTCTCATTGTTGTGAAGAAACTGTAATTAGTCATTAAATGAACACAAAACCAAGAATACTCATAGTTTGAATGAAGTTACCATACCATCAGAGTAGCCAGCATGGAAAAGGAAGTAGTTAGATCATCCCAGGAGATTGGCAGTTTTGTGTTGAGGCTGGTGACTTCCAGGAGAATTATTAGAAAGCTGACACAGAAGCAGAAGCACCAAGTGAACAAGCACCACGTCCAAAAAACATCAGTGGAGTAGCCCACAGACGCCATCAGGCTGAAGGTGATACACAAGAAGATGACCTCCAGAACTCTCACGATGCCCACCGGTTTTGTCACCACCGTAAAGTCCAAGGTAACCATCCTGTCTCTTCGTTTGGCTAGTTTGGAGTCAGCTGTAAGCCACGGCTCTTGCGGCCACCCTGTCTAACCGCAGGAACGCAATGATGGGGAATCTTGCTGTACTTCCCTTCACTAGTCATTAGTTTTAGGTGTGGATGTTCCTTCTGAATCATTGCAGCCAGAACAGGGAGTGCAGCACAGCTGTGAGTCCATATATGGCCTCATGTATTGTTTGCTATCTTAATGGTTTTATAACAGGTAAAAAGGTGAAATCTGTAAATGAGTATCAAAAGGCCCAAGAGGAACCGAGACTCTGCTAGTGAATCATTTCAGGCAAAAACGAATGTTCGATTTGATTGAACTCTAAAGTACTTTAGACATTTTGAGTAGATTTGGTACGTCTGGTACTTTTGAACACATCAAGAAATCATCATTGTTTTTATTCACAATTCCAGCAATGAGAGGAAGGCAAATTATTTGCCAACAATCACCTCTTCACCTCAGACAGGCAGTCTATTAGGTTGTCCAGCAATTTGCCATGTTCACCGCCAAGGGAGATATAAAGTTGGCAGTCATCAGCAAAAAAAAAAAAGAAAACTTATGTCAAAACTATGGAAAATATCCCCAAAAGACAGAAGTGGTCCCAGCACAGAACCCTGGAGAACACCCCCAGGGGAGTTGCAAGGAGGCAGACGAGAAACCACCCATTCTGACGCTTACTGTTCTGTTTGAAAGATACGATCTGAACCACTTCAGAGTCAAACCTGAGACACCCACATGCTGTCTGAGGCGATCAATTAACACATTGTGATCCACGGTGTCAAAAGCAGCAGTGAGGTCAAGCAAAATGAGTAGGACAGACTCACCACAATCTGTGGCAAGGAAAACATCATGACTTTCACCAGTGCTGTCTCAGCTATATGCTGTGCCTTGAAGCCTGATTGAAAAGTTTCCAACATCCCATGAACATGGGTTCCAGACCGGATTTGCTGATGTCCGTACGGATGTTGCTATATGAGCTGAGGATGGAGGGCTGTGATGTGGGTTTTGTTTGGGTTCCTCCTCATGTGGGTGTGGGTGGTAACGAGGGGGCAGGCCTTGAGGCGAAGAGTTCCATCGGAAATGGGGTGTGGGATTGGATGTGGGATTGGGATCGCCTGTATATCGTGCTGTGATCTGCCAGGAGGTCAGAGGCTTGTGGTGGGCCTCCTGGCATATTGGAAAGAAGGGTAGAGCCTTTTATGACCTGCAGAGGGTGGTGGGTGAATGGAGAATGGACTTGTGTTGCGGGAGGAGGGATGATGCGGTGCTGACCCGTTTGAGGCTGGGACATTGTGGTCTAGGGTGTGGTCTGTTCCTGATGGGCAGGCACCCAGATGGGAGGCGTGTTTATGGGGAACCAGAAACGGTCTCTCATGTCCTGCTACCTTGCCAAAGGTATGGGTACGAGCGGCGCACCCTGTTTGTGTTGCTGGGGCAGTGTGGGGTGAGCGTTTACAGCCTCCGAACGTTGTTGGAGGCACGAGACAGACATTGAGTGAAGTTCGTTTTAGCTTAGCTTTTAACTGATTACTATTATTTTTTAAATTAATTAATTAATTAGGTTATTTATTTATCTAGTTATTTATTTTTTTATGTATTCTTTCTTTATACGTGCTATTTTTAAACAGAGTATTTTACCATAGATTTATGATCAACATTATTTTTATATCTATATAACTTTTTATATTACAATTCTCATTTTAGCTCTTATGATTTTATATTTTAACCTTAATTTAACCTTTTTCCAGTGTCTCCTCTGTGGGTGCCCTCTGCCCCGGGTAGTGTTGTGGGTTGGGGATTTTAATGCCCACAGCGGTTTTTGGCGGGACCGGCACATTGATGGGAATGGTAGGGTTTTGGAGGATTTTTTTAGATCGGTCAGGGCTGGTGGTGCTGAATGATGGGAGGCCTACTTGGTTCAGGGGGGATGGTTTTTGTTCTTCAGGGTTGGATCTGATGTTCGCTTCATCTGACTTTACAGCGGTGGCTTGTATGTGGGAGGTGTTGGAGCATCTCGCCATGGCTGGACGAATGGTATTCGGCCATCTCTGGGTGTGTGAAATCGGTGGCTGGGGCCACTGTACCTAGGAAGCGGGTCCCTGCTAGGTGGTCAGTGGTCCCATGGTGGACTGAAGCATGTGGCGTTGCCAGATGGGCTAGGAATCGGGCATATAGGCAGCTCAGGAAGCATCCGGTAGAAGTGTATGTGCTGGCCTATAAGAAGTTGAGAGTGCAGACTAGGAGGGTGGTTAGGGGTGCGAAGAAGGCTGGCTAGAGGGATTTTTGTGGCACGTTGGGGTCCCGTACCACTCTCACGTCACTGTGGAGTATGGTTTGCAGGATGTTGGGTGCACAGGTGCGGCACAGGATGGCTGTGCTTGTTGATTGGGGCCAGTTGGTGTCGGATGATGGGGCGAAGGCGAATCTGTTGGCAGCTCACTTTCAGAGGGTTCATAGCTCGGCGAACATCTCGGCCGAGGATGGTGCTTACCGGGAGGGGGTGGTGTCGAATTTTATGGGTCAGCTAACAGAGGTTGGGGAGGAATCCAGTGTCCTGAACCTTTATTTCTCTATGGTAGAGTTCAAGAGAGCCATTCGTTCTGGGAGAGATACTATTCCTAGGAGAGAAGGATTGGGTACCTGCTGCTGCATCACCTTGGGGATCTATTCCTGGAGGAGGTCTTGTCCTTTGTTAACTTTGTTTGGGGGACTGGTCATTTGCCCGCTGAGTGGAGACACGTGGTCATTGTTCCATTCCTGAAGCCTTGGAAACCCACGGGGCCCCGGATTCATACAGGCCTATTGCTTTGACATCTGTTGTATGTATAGTGATGGAACGTATGGTCACCTCACATTTGGTGCACTTCCTGGGCAGTTTCTTTGCTTTGTACCAGTCTGGGTTTCGGCAGGTGTGTTCCACTATGGACGCGGTAGCACCTCTAGATCTAGAGGTCAGGCGGGCTTTGGCGAGCAAGGAGGTGGTCTTGGCTGTGTTCCTGGATATGGAGAAAGCCTATGATATGCTGTGGAGGGATGGGCTGCTGTCTCTGTACAGAGCTGGTGTGCAGGGGAGGATGTGGTGGTGGATCAGGGGCTTCCTATGTGACAGAACAATCCAGATAAGGGTGGGTTCAGAGCTATCCGAGTCAGTTGGGGTGGAGAATGGGGCTCCGCAGGGCAGTGTGATCAGCCCAGCTCTATTCAACATCCTGATCAATGGTCTGTTTGGCTCCTTGGATGGTGATGTGGGACGATCGCTGTTTGCGGATGATGGGGCTTTCTGGAAGCGTGGCCAGAATCTTCAGTTTGTTTTTCGTAAAATGCAGGAGAGCTTGGACAGTGTGGTGTCCTGGGCGACACGCTGGGGCTTTGTGCTGTCTCCTACCAAGACTAAGTTTATGGTTTTTGGTTTTAAGAGGAGGGTTCCCGAGGCGGGGTTGAGGTTGGAAGGGCGGGACTTGGAACGGGTGTCAGTGTATAGGTACTCTGGCATGTGGTTGGATGAGAGACTGATGTGGAAGGTGCATGTGCAGGGCTTGGTGACCAGGTGTAGCTGCATTCTGAATATTATGAGGTGTCTGGCCAGATCGGACTGGGGGGCGGAAAGAGCCAGTTTGATGCTGGTTTATGAGGGTATGATCAGGTCGGCCTTAGATTATGGGAGTTTCCTGTATGGTTCACCTGCGCCTTCAACCCTGAAGCAGCTGGATGTGTTGCAAGCAGCGGCTATGAGGGTGTGTCCTGGGGCGTTTCGGTCAACCCTGGTGGCAGCCCTCCTTGTTGAAGCTGGAGACATCCCTTTGGAGTTTCGGCAGGTCAAGTTGGAGCTCCGTTACCTGCTGGGTGGGGTTGGTGGTTCCGAGTCTGGGTTACAGCTGTGGTCGCCGGCTTCGGGATGGCTGTTTGGTGTTCACGGCTGAGCTGGTGGCTATTATGTGTGCTCTGCATTGGGTGGGAGAGCATCCTCCACCTCGGCCTGTCGTATGCTCTGACTCGGCGGCAACGCTGGCTTCTGTCAGGATGGCGTTGCATCAGCTGGGTGTTAGGGGTTGTGAGGTGTGTTTTATCTGGGTTCCTGCGCAAATGGGGGTGGATGACTCAGTCCCTTCTGTGTGTGTGTGTGTGTGTGTGTGTGTGTGTGTGTGTGTGTGTGTGTGTGTGTGCGTGTGTGTGTGTGTGTGTGTGTGTGTGTGTGTGTGTGTGTGTGTGTGTGTGTGTGTGTGTAATGGGGGTATCATTGTTATATTGCTTTTATATTTATGGGGAGGGAGGGAATGTGGGTATGTGGGGTCATTTTAATTTGTAAAGCACTTTGACTTGCATTTATTGTTTGACTTGTGCTATATAAATAAAGTTTAATTAGATTTGATGATTTGCTACAGCAGGAGGAATAGAACTGAAGCTCCTTAACAGTAACATTTTACTGGGAAGGCACCGAAATTTAGCACACAAAGATATATGTTTTTTTTTTCAGCACCAGTAGAACAAGTAGTGGTATGGTGACTAACACGTCGGCGTCATTCATTCTGTCCTCTTGCCGCTTCCTCCCAGCTTTGGGAGCAGTGCACCAGCAGGCAGCCCCACACGATCAAAACAGCTTGTGTGGACCACAGACATATATGCGTATAGGCCCCGTGGACTGGCGCTGCCTATTGGAGCTGCCAAAGTGGCCGGCCACCATTTTAGATTAGATTCACCCCCAGTGGATTAATTTCTACTAGGGAAAGTGCTTACCCAACTAAAAATCACGTTATCAAGCTTTTTCACAAAATCAGACACAAGGTGTTGATAATTAAAATATAAATATAAGTAAACAAAATAAATAAATTTAAATATAAAATCTTATCAGGTAGGCCAGAAAACTCACTAGTAATCTCATGTGATCTGTTTTCAACACACCAGTTGCAGCAGGCTACACAGAAACAGGCATAGTTGCTCTCTCTGCATTGAATTTGGAGATTGAGGAGACCCCTCCAATATGGCAGCGACGCCCAACGAGGCATCCATGTATTCATGTCTATGGTGTGGACCGTACCCATTTGAGGATTAGGACTGTGGGTATCAAGAGCATTTACAAAATAGCTTGTGAACCAACCAAAGTAATTCACAGATGATACAGCAATTATACCAGATCAGGGCTATTCAATTCCGGGCCTTGA